AAGAAAAGTGACAAAGCTGATGTAAAAAACTATCGCCCTATCAGCCTTCTATCTCATCTGTACAAGATCTTCACCAAAGTAATCCAAAATAGAATCAAATATATATTGGACACAAATCAACCCAGAGAACAAGCAGGGTTTAGAGCTGGATTCTCAACAACAGACCACCTACAAGCTATAAATCAACTCATTGAGAAGGCAAACGAGTACCAACTTCAACTATGCCTCGGATTCGTAGACTACCAGAAGGCGTTTGATTCCATCGAACACACAGACATGTTTGATGCCCTACGAAAGATTAACATTGAAGAAGGGTATGTGCGCATCCTGGAAGATATTTACACCAACGCAGTAGCCAGAATTCACATTGATAATGATGTATCAAGGGAGGTCAAGATCGAGAGGGGAGTCCGACAGGGAGACACATTATCTCCAAATATATTCACAGCTACTATAGAGGAAGTATTTAAAAAGTCGCATTTAAATGGAGGAATAAATATTGATAGGGAAATACTTAATGATCTAAGATTCGCTGATGATGTGGCCTTGATCTCAACATCAACCAAAGACTTGGAAGACCAGCTGACAGGTCTCAACAGGGAGAGCTAACGTTTTGGCCTAACTATGCACAAAGAGAAAACTAAATATATGACTAACTATGACACAGATGAAAACATCTAAATAGAAGGTCGAACGTTAGAGAGAGTGAGCAGTTACAAGTATCTGTGACAAACTTTGAAAATGGAGGACACTACAAAATGAGAAGTTATAATGAGAGTAAAAGCAGGATGGATGAACTTTGGAAGATACAAAGACATGTTGACTGATAAAAACATACCCATGTCACTAAGAATAAGAATGTTCAACCAATGCATTCTAACAACTATCACATATGGATCAGAAACATGGTCATTGACAAAGGATCTAGAACAGAAGCTTGTGACTACTCAACGAGCTATGGAGAGAAAGATGTAGCATTTATCTCTGCGAGACAAAATCAACCACAAAGTCATACGCCAGAAAACAAAAGGTTAAATACATCATGGAGAAAGTCAGAGAATCAAAGGGTATTTCGTCTCTAAGCATTTTACAAATATTATTACCCCGGTCATCGGATTCATTCACGCACAATGAGCACCATCTCCACTCCCTTCCTACCTCATGGTCACCATGAGAGAAAAGGAAATTACAACCACCCACCCCCTTCCCCCCAAAACTGGTTTTCATCTAGAACAGAGCCTGAGTGTAGTACCTACAGGGTGACACAGGGGGCACGTTGCCCCTTTAGTAAAAGGGCAGAATAAAAATAAGAAGGGTTACAAAGAAGGGGGAGAAAGACAACAAGAGAAAGGAGAGAGGAAACGAGTAAAGAGTAGATATATCAACCAACCAGACGCCCATCATTATGATTAAAGACCTCAAATTGCTCTTCATCCACCGGGTGAGTTTATCCCCCCCTCCCTATAGTGCCCCTTCTATATCTCGATCCATGCTACACCACTGGATGCCTAATTATGTTTATGATGGATATGCATGCCCTGTGCCACACATCATAACGCTTCCGTTCCCGTTTATTCAACAGCAGCCCTGAGATATTATCCTGTTTAATTAACTAAATTAACACGTTTAACATGTGAGAGGGGCAATTCATTTGATACTGCGGTCCGTGTCGCCTAATTAGTCTATACATTTTATCTATTATGCTAAACGACCGTCAACGTTGCCATAATAGTATAATGTTAATTTAATCATTTCGTTCTGGTTCTGCATGGATTGGTTTTAGACGTCAACATTTCTTCTATGTAGACATTATAGAAGCCACGTTTTTACGTTAAAATTGTTGGGATCGTAGATTAGGAAGATATAATTATATATATATTTAAAACTAGCTCGTATTATATCTGACGCCTAAATTAAACTTAGCTTTTTCACTGTCCATTATTATACTACATAATAACACTACATGATTGATATAACGGGGAATCGCAGTAAGGATCACAATTGAGAAGGCGTGATGGCTCAGTGGTAGAGCAATAGACTCGTAAGGGGGAGGTTGCGGGTTCGAAACGAAGTCAATGTCCTCTAGCCCTATGGTAAAGCTTTAATCCTCATTACAAAGTCCCTCGGAGGGTACTTAGAGCAGTCGGTCCCCTGCTCGTTTATATGATTTTCTTTAGAAAGATCCACAACTATTATCACGATAGTGTATTAATAATAATAATAATAATAATAATACATATGATTTATAAGGCGCCAAATCCACTTGACAGTCAAATGCTCAAGGCGCAGCTTGTGCAAAAGATGAAATACATACATGATACATTTATACAAAGTGCGATAGGAAAGGTACAGACATGAAAGATAATGGTAATCAATTACAAGCTAAATTAAACAGATTAATGTAGATTCTGCATCTGCTGAATCAGGGTCTCTCAAAAATGGAAACACAAGTTTGTCGTAAATTACTTAAGATTTCCAAATTATTTCAGTAGCTTGTACTTAACTGGAAGCTCATTTCCTCTTCTTGTATATGACACCAACACCATGATCACTCATTACCGATTAAAGACCCAACTGTCCAAAATGAGTGAATTTCTGCTACATTTCGTTCATTTTGATTTTTTTGAGAAAAGGAATAGATATGGAATTATTTATCATTGAAAAAAACACCTCTTCCACATAATAATAAACGAGAAATCACACTGGGCCCGAGCAGGCATAATTTGTTTTGTGTATGGCAAAATGGCATTTGTTCAAGTGCCTCACTTCATTTCCTGAAATAAAATGGCATGTGCCTTTAAAAGAATTTCTAATTATGCTACCTGCTGACTCATAAGTGATCCTTCCTTGCTGATTACGGTATGATATGAAATGGTGGTTAATGGTACTATGTCCCATTTGCAGGTAAACAAATGAAAAGGTTAAATTTCAACGGAATTTAAAAGACAATACTCATTTAGAACTCCCCCCTCCCCCATATATATAAAGTGGGAAAATAACGACTTTTAGTTGTCGAATCGACTTAAGAGCTATAGAGCCAGTAAGTTATAGTCTGATTTTTCAGACCATTGAACCGAATGGTCGTACGTTTTATGCTGCGCAAAGATTCAATCAGTTTAATGTTGGCCATTACAAGAAGTGGGTTATTGATGTAGAAAAATGCTCGTGTACCCTTTATAGCTCATTTTATGTATGTTATTACCACAGATGAAACAAAAAACCAGTCAGTCACTCACTAGTGTCTGACAGTGAAGTCTAGCAAGTAAACGGGTTTCCTTGCATAATTTGAATATTAGGACACTGCTAGTGTTTAAATTTCACAGACATACATGACATATTCATAATTCCTGCAAAATTCTACACAATTTGATGTTGGCTGCACAAGGGACATAGTATCTTTAACATTTATTAATTCCACATCAGCATTGAGCCCTCAAGCCCCCTTTGTAGAACGACTAGCGCCGCAGGGACGTGTAGGTAGCATAATACACTTTAGTAAATTACATTTATACATCATATATCACAGTTAAATGGATTCACCGCCCTTTACGTGTACATTCGTCATATATGGGCGGTTTTGTATTACGCAACATAATGCTCCAATACAAATGGGAATGAAATTCAGCCAGCCCGATCAATCGCTTTGCATACAGCGAAGTTTTTTTCCTCAACCCTCTTGCTGATAATATTTGAATTACAGTCGACTTTCTATGTTCGTCCGAATCATGATTTATTATTTATTGTTTCCCTTTAATACTTATTTTTAATTTCTACCCGGTTTTCCGTACGATACATCAAAGGCGGCCTGTGTATATCTAATCAAATTCGATACAATGTTAGATGTGGTATTTCATCCTGTACTGGATGTTTTTCTTTAACATTGACATTGTAGAGGGGATGTGGCGGGGTTTAAGGCAGGCTTACTCAATGTTCTACTCTGCCTGTACACACCTAGCGTATAGGTGTCAGATTCTGACACCTATACAGTCAGAATGCCCCTTCAATAAAATATTCAAAGTAAGTTCCAAACAATGTTTTATTCAGTTTTCTATAAGAAAACAATTTCATAGTACAAACTGCTTGGTTTATCACGTCTATAGATTATGAAGTCAACTGTTACTTGATAATTAAAATCACACTTTTCTTTCTTTCTTTTCTCACATGTTCATCTGAAAGTTTAAGTTGAAATGCCTCTAGTTTGCATCAAACATTTTGTGAAAAAAGAATTGTCAAACGTTTGCAAAAGGCAAGTTGAACGGGGGAAGCTTTACAAAAATGGTATGGCACGAAAAAACGAAACCGGAAGGCAAGAAATTTAACTGTTTGGTGATATCGGAACTATTTATTGTTAATCCAGGAGCCTCTTTAGCAATAATACTATTCTTCGTTGCAAAAGACTACCCAAAATGTTACATCTGGATGGAGAGGGAAGTACGCTTTGCCAAAGGAAAATTGAGTGCCAGGCTGGGTCTCGAACCCTCTACGGTTGGTTTGAGAGTTAATTGAATTAACCACTATAATTATCACGACACCGCCTATTATTGAACATAAAATTGTAATTATATTGAATGAATGACATTTGTATAATTATATAATGCCTGGTCACGGTAATAGTGTAATCAACAAGTTGTGATCAATGTCATAATAACATGGTTCTTTTTCAGTGCCATATAAATATGAATTGAAACAAATGCATTTTTTTTGGCTGTAGCGTAATTTTTCGGCTTCATGTCATTTTCCGAAGGTTTGTAATTCCAAAGGCTTATAATTCCCAAGGCTCATATTTCCGAAAATTAAATTGGATTCTTAATTCCGAAAATGACGTAGAACAATATATTGATTATCGGAATTATGGACCTTCATATATTAACGAGACTTTTTCATTTTCAGAATTACACACATTTCGGGATTTTGCATGCAAATACTACCTGGTTCGGTGCAATAGTAACGCTGGACATCATCAGGAATCTGGAGGTCTGCTGAGAGGTCGGATATTAACCAGTCTAGATCGGATTGCATGGGTTTTGGGATCAATTGTACAGTCTCACCGCTCTCCAAGGTGATCAAAGGACATGACATCGTGGTTATATGAAGACAGACGTCATTTACGTCATGTAATGCTATAATGGAATTGAGTTAAAGAATGAATAAATTCATAAATACATTGATAGATAAACACATATTTAAACGAATTTATAAGTACATAGAATAGATGTTAAAGAATAAACGGTAGGAATTAATGAATGAACAAATAGATAGAAAAATGAACGTTTAAATGAAATCCTCATGAAAAAAACCCAATACATTCCAATAGAGAGAAGGAGCAACACTGGCCATTGGGTGCCAGCATTGTTCTCGAAAGCTCATTTCACGTAGGATATTGGTTACCGAACAAAATGGTCTAATATAATAATGAGTTGTACATGCACAAATATTTAATGCAATTTATACATCACAATGGGGTCGAGCACATAAAATCTTTAAATAGATCTTTAATCTGATCCCCACTCAATTTATGTTACTTGTGGTTCCAACTCCTGATTTGAATATGTCCATCTTTTAATATGTATCACATGCGTTCATACGCAAATTTATGTATATGTATTTTATATATTGAGTGAATAATTGAACTGAATTGAATTAAATTGAAAATTAATTGATTTTGAGCAGCGCTTTGCTCACATTTTAACACTACAACGCTACCTTTGCATCTTGGGTCGAGGAAACCTACATCACAATACTCCCATATTATCCCATGATTGGTGGTGTAACACCAAGCAGTGTCATCATTATCTGGGCTCCTGCAATAGTTGTCGTCTAGTCCCGCGTTAGGAAAGTCAGCTGGAGTATAAACGTGTTGGTGGGGATCCTGAGAGGTCCATGCTTGACAATTATGACCGTTGATTGTCTGAGATAGGTTTCCCCTGTAGTTCACTCCAGTAGAATCTTCTTGACATGCAGGTGTGTCTCGAGAAAAACAGGATAAGGTCTAAACGTTACATAATTAAAACATTAGGATTGCCGCTCTTGAAATGAATACGTAGCAAGATGATACGTAAGCGAAAACAGGCCCAAAGATTACAACTGGCAGTAAGTAGGGGGAGATAGGGTTGGTGGTCTTACCTGATACACTGACTGTCTGAACTCCATTCACTATTACAACGATGGCTGCAATTACATGTAGCTTTAGTATATACCCCATGCTTGAGGGCGTCCTTCCTCCACCAGAGGCAATCCCAAAGATCCTACATGAACTGAAAATGGTGTAATCGATGTAATTTACAAGGTCAGGCGCGGATCCAGGATTTTCCAATAGGGGGGGCCGGAAATTTCGAAATTGCGCAGAACTTTTTTTTTTAACTCAACATATCAACAGGGTCATATTAGAAGCACCATACCGGTACAACTTTGACATTCCCATCAGGGGGGGGGGGGGGGGGGGGGGGGGGGGGGGGGGGGGGGGGGGGGGGGGGGGGGGGGGGGGGGGGGGGGGGGGGGAGGGCTATAGCCTCTTTGCCCGAAAAAAGTAATTTTCTGGTTTCACAATTCGGCTAGTGAGCGAAACGATCGAGCAAAAATTTGAGCATAATATGTATATTGTGAAAGTGTTATTTATCACGAAAATAAACGAGAAAAGATATCAAAATTCATATTCGGGCAGCTCGCTGTCCCCCCCCCCCCCAATTACGCGCGAAGCGCAGAAGCTCCGATGTTTCATGAAATTATTAGAGGAGAGGATTCGTTGAACTATTCTCGACTCTAAATTCTTGTTTAAATTAAGTTCCCCCCTCTCGCACGAAGCGCGGAAGCTTTGACCTTTCATTAATTATTAGAGAAAGAAGAAGATTAGTTGTACCATTCACGACTCTTATTTCTTGTCCGAATTCAGTTCCCCTCCCCCTCCCGCGCGAAGCACGGAAACTTTGACCTTTCATAGTTTAATGAAATTATTAGAGAAAGAATTAGAAGGTTCGTTGATCCATTCTCGACTCTTAATCCTTCTCTGAATTCAGTCCCCCCCCCCTCCCGCGCAAAACGCCGAAGCTTAACGTTTTATTAAAATATTAGAGAAAGAAGACAATTCGTTGTACCGTTCTCGACTCTCAATCCTTGTCTGAATTCAGTTTCCTCCCCCCCTTCCACGTGAAGCGCGGAAGCTTTGACGTTTCATTAAATTATTACAGAAAGAAGACGATTTGTTGTACCATTCTCGTCTTCTAATCCTTGTTTGAATTCAGTTCCCGCCCCCCCCCCCATCCCGCGCGAAGCGCGGAAGCTTTGACGTTTCATTAAATTATTAGAGAAAGAAGATAATTCCTTGTTCCATTCTCGACTCTAAATCCTTGTTTGAATTTAGTTCCCCCCCACCCCTCGCGCGAAGCGCGGAAGCTTTGACGTTTCATTAAATTATTAGAGAAAGAAGACGATTTGTTGTACCATTCTCGTCTTCTAATCCTTGTTTGAATTCAGTTCCCCCCGCCACCCTCCCGCGCGAAGCGCGGAAGCTTTGACCTTTCATTACAGTATTAGAGAAAGAAGATAATTCCTTGTTCCATTCTCGACTCTAAATCCTTGTTTGAATTTAGTTTCCCCCCCCCCCCTCTCGCGCGAAGCGCGGAAGCTTTGACGTTCAATTAAAGTATTAGAGAAAGAAGACAATTCGTTGTACCGTTCTCGGCTCTCAATCCTTGTCTGAATTCAGTTTTTTCTCCCCCCCCCCCCTTCCGCGCGAAGCGCGGAAGCTTTGACGTTTCATTAAATTATTAGAGAAAGAAGAAGATTCGTTGTACCGTTCTCGACTCTCAATCCTTGTCTGAATTCAGTTTCCTCCCCCCCTTCCACGTGAAGCGCGGAAGCTTTGACGTTTCATTAAATTATTACAGAAAGAAGACGATTTGTTGTACCATTCTCGTCTTCTAATCCTTGTTTGAATTCAGTTCCCGCCCCCCCCCCCCCCCATCCCGCGCGAAGCGCGGAAGCTTTGACGTTTCATTAAATTATTAGAGAAAGAAGATAATTCCTTGTTCCATTCTCGACTCTAAATCCTTGTTTGAATTTAGTTCCCCCCCCCCCCACCCATCGCGCGAAGCGCGGAAGCTTTGACGTTTCATTAAATTATTAGAGAAAGAAGACGATTTGTTGTACCATTCTCGTCTTCTAATCCTTGTTTGAATTCAGTTCCCCCCGCCACCCTCCCACGCGAAGCGCGGAAGCTTTGACCTTTCATTACAGTATTAGAGAAAGAAGATAATTCCTTGTTCCATTCTCGACTCTAAATCCTTGTTTGAATTTAGTTTCCCCCCCCCCCCCTCTCGCGCGAAGCGCGGAAGCTTTGACGTTCAATTAAAGTATTAGAGAAAGAAGACAATTCGTTGTACCGTTCTCGGCTCTCAATCCTTGTCTGAATTCAGTTTTCTCCCCCCCCCCTTCCGCGCGAAGCGCGGAAGCTTAACGTTTTATTAAAATATTAGAGAAAGAAGACAATTCGTTGTACCGTTCTCGACTCTCAATCCTTGTCTGAATTCAGTTTCCTCCCCCTTCCACGTGAAGCGCGGAAGCTTTGACGTTTCATTAAATTATTACAGAAAGAAGACGATTTGTTGTACCATTCTCGTCTTCTAATCCTTGTTTGAATTCAGTTCCCGTCCCCCCCCCCCCCCCCATCCCGCGCGAAGCGCGGAAGCTTTGACGTTTCATTAAATTATTAGAGAAAGAAGATAATTCCTTGTTCCATTCTCGACTCTAAATCCTTGTTTGAATTTAGTTCCCCCCCCCCCTCTAGCGCGAAGCGCGGAAGCTTTGACGTTTCATTAAATTATTAGAGAAAGAAGACGATTTGTTGTACCATTCTCGTCTTCTAATCCTTGTTTGAATTCAGTTCCCCCCGCCACCCTCCCGCGCGAAGCGCGGAAGCTTTGACCTTTCATTACAATATTAGAGAAAGAAGATAATTCCTTGTTCCATTCTCGACTCTAAATCCTTGTTTGAATTTAGTTCCCCCCCACCCCTCGCGCGAAGCGCGGAAGCTTTGACGTTTCATTAAATTATTAGAGACAGAAGACGATTTGTTGTACCATTCTCGTTTTCTAATCCTTGTTTGAATTCAGTTTCCCCCCATCCCGCGCGAAGCGCGGAAGCTTTGACGTTTCATTAAATTATTAGAGAAAGAAGATAATTCCTTGTTCCATTCTCGACTCTTAATCCTTGTTTGAATTTAGTTCCCCCCCCCCTCTCGCGCGAAGCGCGGAAGCTTTGACCTTTCATTAATTATTAGAGAAAGAAGAAGATTAGTTGTATCATTCTCGACTCTTATTCCTTGTCTGAATTTAGTTTCCCTCCCCCTCCGCGCGAAGCGCGGAAACTTTGACCTTTCATTCCAATATTAGAGAAAGAATTTAAAGATTCGTTGTTCCATTCTCGACTCTTAATCCTTCCCTGAATTCAGTTCCCCCCCCCTCCCGCGCAAAGCGCGTAAGCTTTGACGCCTCATTCAATTATTAGAGAAAGAAGACGATTCGTTGTACCATTCTCGTCTTCTAATCCTTGTTTGAATTCAGTTCCCCCCCCCCTCCCGCGCGTAGCGCGAAAGCTATGAGGTTTCATAAAGTTATTAGAGAAAGAAGATAATTCCTTGTTCCATTCTCGACTCTAAATCCTTGTTTGAATTCAGTTTTCACCCTCCCGCGCGAGGCGCGGAAGCTTTGACCTTTCATTACAATATTAGAGAAAGAAGATGATTCGTTGTTCCATCCTCGACTCTAAATCCTTGTCTGAATTTAGTTTTTTCCCGCTCGCGCGGAGTGCGGAAGCTTTGACGTTCAATTAAAGTATTAGAGAAAGATGATGATTCGTTGTACCATTCTGGACTCTTAATCCTTGTCTGAATTCAGTTCCCCCCTCCAAAGCGAAGCGCGGAAGCTTTGACATTTTATTAAATTATTAGAGAAAGAAGACGATTCGTTGTACCGTTCTCGACTTGTCAGAATTTCAAAAATATTTCCTTGTCTGCTCCTTTTTCGTCCTACGTCCTTTTACTGCCCCTACCGCCCCTGGCTACGCGCCTGCTTTAAAGAGAAAATGAAACAATCATGATTGTGATAGCATACAATTAGGTTAGTAGAAATGAAAGATCTATTACACCAACCATGGATAAATCTACTTCAAGTTTTACCAACATGAGTTCAAATACAAGCACAAGCGAGTTGGTATGAGCTGAATCCAAATGAAGGGCAAAATAAGAGTTGTGAAGCGGCCCTACCGTTAATTTAAAATTTGACTGTTGAGTATATAGCTTCTATTTAAAAGACATCCAAAATATTATGCCCTTTTCAAATTTCTCACTAAAGAGTGGTGACCTTTGTAGCGCATGGGCTGTTTTTAACGTTTAACTTTGAATCTGCTGCTCGAGATTTTATGCGGCCGGCCCGGCCCGGCCCCCTCTATTCTATGACGTTTGCCAAGCCTACTGAAATGACCCCAAATTTCCCGATTACAGTTTTTCCCTTATTCGTCGTTACTGTCACTTGGCGCCATTTCTTTGTCTTCCCCCTTTCTCAACCGACTTTTCTCTCCCACCCCCCCCCCCCCCCCCACCCACTCAGTGTTATCTAGGGTACGAGCATTTATGTTCCCTCTCTTTGAAAGCACCCATCTTTCTCCGGTGTGTAACGTCAGTAAGGGCCGGTTTTTTTGTATTACGGGCCGGACTTTGTTGCGTGAAAAAGTAACCCTTTTTCGGAGATTTTGGAACACAAATTGGGGGGGGGGGGGGCTTTTTTTCGTTTTCTTTTCTCCTTTTCTCTCTCTCTCTCTCTCTCTCTTTTTCTTTTCTCTTCTTTCTTTTCTCTTCTCTTTTCTCTTCTCCTTTCTTTTCTCTTCTCCTTTTTTTCTTCTCTTCTCCTTTCTGTTTTCTCTTCTTTTCTTCCTCTTTTTTCCTTTTTTTTGCGCCGCCAATAGGGGGGGCCGCGGCCGTTTCGGCCCCCCCTGGATCCGCCACTGCAAGGTGTCATAGTTTTATGGGGTGAGGTGAGACTGGAAAATATGATCACAATATTTAAAATGAACTGATTTTCGAAAGTCGCCACCTTTTTATTTATTAACAGATTTGAGGCACTGCACTAATTTCGTTTCAAACTTAATAGTAGATATCAGCATTAAAGGTGACACTGGCTTAAAAGTTATAAAGCGTTTCAGGAAGCAGTCATTGGTTAACAAAAGCAACGTACTAAACTTTGGTAGCTTATGTTTCAAATATCATGATCAGTCTGAGGTTGAAACCATTTCATGATAAAGAAAAATTGGTCTTTATGTAATGATACCCTATTCGTTTCCATTTTCTAAAATATTAATAGCGAGTGAGGGAAGCAAGCGAACACAAATTAAGAATCTGTTCCGCTTGTTCGTGCAGTGTTGTAGGTCTACAGTTTGGCATATAACTATTATCCATTTCCAATCAGCATTAGGCTAACACGGGACGAACTACACCTCGCGGAGGTTCGATACGGGATGCTGACAATTGGTCGACATACGGGACAATCCCATAAAATACGGTACTGCTGGTTAAAAAATCCTGTATTAATTTAAAATGGACCTTACTCGACGACCTGTTGCTAAGGTCTCACTGCAACCAAAAAAGGAAATTATCAAAAAAAAAGCGATTGACCTGCCCTTGTGAGAGAGTTGTATGGTCCACCAGGTCGAATGCAAAAAAAAAGGTCAAGCATTCATGGGAAGACAAATTGACTGTTATTAGTGTCACAAAATCTGTCATTCTGCAGACGAATAAGTGCATCCTAGTCAATACTTATGTGCGACTCAGTGAAAGGAGTGCATTGGATCAAGAAAATAAATGTGATTGACAGATTTGGAAACCTGATTAGAACAAGCTTTTTCCATAAATTGTTCCAGAAATTTGTGTATTAGAAATCGGTCAATGATTAAAATGTATTCAATAACGGAGTAATGACAGAAGATCTTAGTGCCAAAAGAAACTCACCGTAAGACAATGATACATTCATTTTCCATTTCATTTCATTTCATTTATTCAACCATTTAATTTATTCAACTATAAAACGTGATCTTATACAAAGTAATAAAGGTTAGGAGCCCTAAAAAAGCAAGAGCTTGTAAACAGGGCCCCTTGAGCAAATTATACATGCATAAAATACATATTTAATAATACGAATATTTAATCATCAACATACAAACACATAAATACATTTTCACACATTCAGCTAAAAGGAAAAAAGAAGATGAAAAAGAGTAAGTAGTAGAAAACAAAGAAGAATTAAAACAGAAAGAGACTTAAATATAAATGCTAATCATGACCACGGAGTGTTGAAGGTAAGAATCTATCAGCCACGTCAACAAAATTAAACAAAGGTAACTCCGCCAGTATGTACTACAATCTTGTCGAAAGAGATTTACAGCAGAGAAAACGTAGTACTACCCCGAATATTCAGTACCGGTTCATCTCATGATTTAAAGACACGTGTTATCAGTGTCTGTAATATGTTAAAGCCCTACAAAGGTTGCGTTTCAAAATGATCATGAAGTGCTTTAAACAATTTTGTTTGAATTACCAGTTTTTAACATACTTATTTCCCCCGATAGACTGTAGTGTTTAATATACAAACCGTTCGGGAAACTAAATTTGATTTCGATTTCCAATTATATTTTTCTTGATAATCAGACAGGCGATCGGCTTGTACAAGTCGTGGGATTCCTGACTGGTCTAAAGGTTTATAATTATCATTGCAGCATGAGCTAAACCCAGGGTTTGTTTCAGAATCTGAGACAATATTACCGAGTCACTTTAATGTATTGACACGAAAAGAATTTAAGCCCATAGTGTTTGATGAAACGGATGACTTTGTCGTGTGTCATAAATGAAAAGAGAAATTTAAAGTAAGCATGTAGTTTGAAAAAAATGGCAGTAGACCAAGATTATATCTATACACAAATGTAACCCAAACTGTCAGTAGCAGGCAAAATATGCAGATGACGAAATAAAGGTCCATTTGGACTTCGAAAGTGAGAGTTTGATATATGTCTAAGTACTTTCTTTGTAGTAATTTCAACCTGAGGAGGTTGGTTTTATATGAATAGCCCCAGAAAATAATATAGGATTTCCCGGCCAAATTCGCGAGTTTGTCATTCAAATTAATTTGTCTTGCGTTCAAATTCGACGGTTTTAGTGCATTCAGGTATATCTCGGGTATATATTCCTTTTTCTAGTTTTCTAATCTATGTAATTTTCGTTAGAATCTACGTATGTTTCATTCAAATTAATGAACAATGTGCTTCTTTCGCTATTTGGTCATTCGATTTGGCGCAACACGATTTTCTGACAACGCGACGGTGTACTTCTAGCATTCTAATTCATTTGTAGCATTCAAATTAGCACTTTGTGCACTTAAATTGATGGTCAATATACATTTCTCGTTTATTACACACTTTTTATAGCTCATTCTTTTTCTTTCAAGATTGTTTTTACATGTGTATTTCATCATATTTCATTTTCTTGCATTTATACACTTATACCTTTTAGATTTATCTGATATTCATCAGCATTTAAGTTTGATTGTTAAAAAAAAAAGACTTACATCTACGGACTTGATGGTCTCAATATTAATTGTAAATTTTCATGTAAGGAAGTTGTTTGTCTTGTGTTTCATCATAAATTTATCACAATTTCATCATGGAGGAAGGGTACAATATTGTGACTGGGGTATATGAACATGTCCGTTCAGAGATGCCATATCCCTTGATTTCACCCTTCTTTACCTAATGTCTGACTACACACATATGCTTTGTCCTCAAAATTAATAAATGGAATAACAGAAAAGACCCTAATGGCAAATCATGCATTTCATTGCATTTTTAAAAAATGTAAACGTGTGTTGCATTTCTTCTCCCTAACATTTCTAACTTGAATAAACATAATTCGAATACGAATGACAGGTGTCAATTTGAATGATAAAAATGACGCCTCGACAAGTGACGATTAATTTGAATGCTTGTTGAGCAGTTTCTAAATTTAATGACAGATCTATGAAATCCTTCGACCCAAATCCTAAATTAAATACAAACACTGGAAAATGGAATGATAATTGGCATGGCAAAGCTGATCTGTGCTAACTTTAATGCAAAGTAAATGAATTCGAATGACAAACGCGCAAATTTGACCGGGAAATCCTATACAATACAATAAATGAGGCAAGGTAATATTATTATAGATAGTGATGAGTATAGTTTGAGGTCGAATATATGTTAATCATGTTATGACACCAATACCGCTTAAAATCTTTGCACAAATAATATTATATATAGGATTTCATGAAAGAAATTCTTCCGAATAGCATTATAATATTAAGAAGGTTAGGTGTCTTACCTTCTAGAGGTGTTTGATAACAACCAGTTCGTCTAAAATTTGAGGATCACTAAAGTATGCAAAGAACACAAGTCCAAGCCCGAGGAATGCAAACTGATACTGATCAGCAAACCAGTCTTCCACCACTCACCGTGCGCATGTTGGCTGGCGTCTCAGACTCAATGTTGGGCGGGGCTGCAACAGCACCCACAACATAAGCTACCGACCAATCATCTCGAACGTAGGGATGAATCTCATGCGCAGGCTGTGTTGTTTAGAACCAATAGTCTGGACAACGAGTGAATACTGTATATAGCCGCTCATGTATTTTGTTCGTTACATTCTTTATTCATTCAATATTATATCAGACAGAATGTTTGTTCGGGAAAAGGGACTTGGTAACATTGTTCAGATGAGAGAAAGTGGTGCTTAGATAGTGATAGTGACTTCAATGCTAGATGTACAATTAAATATAATCTGAAAGTGAAAACGGATCATTATTAATGATACAAATTGGGAAAAACTGATCTGATCGAATGGCCATAGGCGCTATCTGAAATATTTGAAATTTACCGGGAACACCGGTAGATCTTTGGTTATTCAATTTCTCGAAAGCAGAAGTGTTTTAGGGGCTAAATTTTTTAGTGATTTTAATACATCCACACGGGCATCCAAATGTATCCAAATTGTAAATAATTACTATCCATCCAATTTTCAAAATTTCCCAAAACTTTGCATTACTTGGGTCGGGTAATCATTTGATTTTCGGTTTCATTTTTTCAGGAACGCAAATTACATATGGATACATATATATGGTTTTGTGCTTGCCCAACAAAGCAACATGTGCATTCTAAATATATATTTAAACATCCCTTTGAGCAGGATTGATAAATTACTGTAAAATAGAGTGGATAGAGAATAAAAGAGAGGGGCGGAAAGGAGAGACAGAGAAAAAGAGAGAAAGAGACAGGGAGAGAGTTAGAAAGGGGTAGGGTAGGGGCAGAGATTAACCGAGTTGAATTTGTGAGGAAGTTAGTGAGAGGGAGATAAAGAAAGAGATAAAGGTGAAGGGGGAGGAAGAGAGAGAGAGAGAGAGAGAGAAAGAGAGAAAGAAAGAGAAAGAAAGGTAGAGAAAGGAGGGGAGGGAGAGGTAGAGAGAGGGAGAAAGAAAGAGAGAGAGGGGAGTACGGAGAAAGGGAGAGAGAGAGAGAGAGAGAGTAAGAGAGAAAAGAGGAGGGAGAGCGAGGGGTAGAGAAATGGAAAGGGGGAAATGGGAAAAGTTATGAATCTTTGAAGCGCTACTGGTGTTTACCCTCACCCATATAGGACCTAAAGTATTAAAGGAAATTATTCATTTTGGTTTATATATATATATATATATATATATATATATATATATATATATATATATTATATAGTTAGTTAGCAACCTGTAGAGCGACCGTGAACATGATGAGAAAAAACATACGCCATGTAATTAAAAAGGGAGGTTATCAAGCCCACATTAAAATTACATGGGTACTGCTTCAAATTAAGGTTTGCCCCTTATCTCATTAGGATAATTACTGAATTTAAAAGACCATGTCGTAAGTACAAAGCGAATTGGATGATCAACTGCAAACTAATCAGCCATAGATGACAACAACATCAGTTACATTGTATTTTAATGTCTGTTAGAGGAGTAATAGCTCTTTGAAAATCGAAAGCTTTTGACCTAAAAACAAGTTATCGACTTGATGACAATCATATGTGAAGTACGCATATTCACAGTGACTTATTATTAATTAAGCATCGCTCATGCTCCAGCTATATATATATATATATATATATATATATATGTATATATATACATATATTAGGTACTTTTAGATTTGCACAACGACAACGTGGATTGCTACGATCGATGTCCTTTTAATGCACTGCCTTTAATTGACGTCACACGTATCAGTCCACGCAAATCTTAAAGTCCCTAATATACATACGAGCTGATCCGGTCCACATGTTTTGTCGTCACCGTAACTGCGGCAAATTTGACCCCTGTTGCCCCGTAAATTCGAGGGCTGCAGAAAATAAGGCTTTAATTAGCTTTTGTGCAATGCTGAAAAGTATTTAATATTTTGTTTCAACGTCCATTCAGATTTCCATTTAATCATATAAAGTTGAGTTTTCTTCAGATAGGGTTTTTAATATCTCATAGTAAAATGGAATACAGCTAGACATCTTACACCGCCAAGCAGAAATATGACGTATTGGGCGAAAGACGTTGGTATATCCATGGAAATGCTGAGCAGGTACTAGGATGGCGACCACTTGACATAATAATGGTCAAACCAATCAATTTTCGATGCGATAAGGTTATACAGCGTTAACATTTATTTATATTGAATTGATTATGTTTTGAAAAAGGTAACAAATCGTAATAATACTCAGCGACCATGAACAGATAGTGTGTGTGTATGCGTGTGTGTGTGTGTGTGTGTGTCTGTGTCTGTGTCCGCGTGTACGTGGGAGTGTGTACGGGAACGGGGCGGGAAAGGAGAGGTGTGCATTTGAACGAGCCAAATGTCTTTTTGCAATGACGTGAAATGAAACGTGGTTACGGATAGTACTTTACAAAAAAATAAAAAAAAAATAGGTGTACCCCCCTCTACCCCCCTCCTAACACACACCCTCACAAGTTCGTTTTCAAAGGCTATTTTAGAAGTTGTTATATTTAAAATTATTTTAGGAGGGTACTTGTTACAGAAAACAATATTTTTAAGATGAGAAACAGGTTGCCTCGGTGTCAGTTGGCGGAAAGAAATATGAAATATTGAAACATTGAATTTTGTCATGGTGATACAGAAATGAAGTTGATCAGGGGTAGAGCGATATTAATTTCGTGCATAAACATTCCCCTCGCATCTTATTTGTTTTCTATTTCTCTTTCCCTCTCCCTCTCTTTCCGCTCATCACGTCTCTCTCTATACTCCCTTCCTTACTCTCCTCGTCCTCCTCATCTAGACCTCTCTTTTCTTCCTCTTCTGTCTTCACATTTCCGTTCTGTTTCTTATGTTCTCCCATCTTATTAAGCCTTCTTTCAAGCACAACAATCTCTCTCTCTCTCTCTCTCTCTCCGTCTCTATCTATATCCCTCTCCCTCTCTCTCTCTGTCTCTTTGTCTCGTTGTCTCTCTTTCTCGCTGCCTCTCTGTCTCGCTGCCTCTCTGTCTCGCTGCCTCTCTGTCTCGCTGCCTATCTGTCTCGCTGTCTACTCATCCCCTCTTTGTATTAATGCATGCCTTTGATACAAATAATTCATGTTTGGGAGTGCAATGCACTGCAGCAGGCTATTTTTTTTTCTTTCTGTTTTTATTGTTTTTTTCTGAAACATTAACAGAGTAAAAGCAGCAATATAAAATATAATATCATCTTAAAACTACAAAACAGGCACGCACTCATGCACCCATAAACACGCACACACACACACACACACACACACACTCACACTCATATACTTTCCCAGAGGGCAAGTTTACAATTCAAAAAGCCAATGAAGATGTTCATGACAACAGAGCTTTGCAAGACTACTCCTAAATTTCAGTTAAACTTGATAGACCATTTCTTAAAATGGACTTGTAACTTTTTTTTCTTTTGGGCAATTTTATATTCTATTTTTTGTTTGAACTTTACCATTGAAACAAATGCTTCGAAAATAAGTTCTTTTCCCTGAAACCTACATGAGTAAATGTAATATTTTAAACATAAACAGAGAAAATTTATACAAGAGGCGTATTTGTCCCTTGACTGTATCCCAAACAAAAAAATAAATTTTGACAGAGTCAGATTATAACTGTGATCAGTGCCAGTGTTAATCTTATCCACCATTTTTTCCCACAGTGGTACAACTCTCCTACAGTCACAAAACAAGTGATCTAAAGTTTCTGGAAAATCTGAACAAAAATAACAATTAGCAGACTCCTTTCTCCCAATCTTGAACAAAAATGCATTAAAACCAATAGCATTATGGAAATTTTTGAAATAAAAACTCCTTAACTGAGTCTCAATTGTGCAACAAAAGTTACTCGTATGAATAATCGACCAATCCTTCTCTTTGGGTTGATGGCCAAAGAGTTCCTCCCATTTACTCTCCCTTTTGGCATTAGTACAACTATATTTCTTTAGCAAAATATTGTATGTATACTTAGACATTTTCTTTGACTTAATAGATCTTTAAAAATTTGATTAAATATATTCTCATCCACATTAAGAGAATTATCAAACCACTCCAAAAATATGCCATTCATGAGGGAGTCATATTTTCTTTGGTCTCTAATAGGAATGTCAAACTCAATTACGAGGTCTTCAAATGTTTTGGGGTTACCAAAACCATTATGTAATTGAAAAATGGAATGAATACCCCTTTCATACCAAATTGGATAGAAAAAATGTGTTCTATATTGCAATCTTACATTTCTATTCCACCAAATAAAATCTTGTAAATGAAACTGACATAAACCTAGTTCTCTTTTCATCTCTTGCCTATATAAATACCATGTTTTAATAGACGCTGTTAACTGGCAATTTTTAAGTTTTGCCAAAACCGAATCAGGGGCATCTGCCTTAAAAAGGGCAAGATGATCATCACAAAAGGTAGAAAGAATATATATTTCTATTGTTTTCCAACAACTTTCATATTTATCGTCTAAGAGTTTAGCCATCCACAAAACTTTCTGCGATTGTGCAAAAACTAAAGGATTAATCATCCTTAGACCCCCTTCTTCATAATCATTGCATAATATATCTCTCTTAACTCTGTCATTGCCATTGCTCCAAATGAATTTAAAAAGCAAACCATTTAATCTTTTAAAGAAAGAGTTTGGCAGGTCAATGCATAATACTGAAAACAAAAATAACATTTGGGAGAGTAAAAGCGACTTTACAACAGCAATTTTGCCCAACAAGGATAGGCTTCTATGCCTCCAACAATTTAAAATCTGTTCTATAATGACAAGTCTGGGAACAAAATTCAGTTCGTAAAGCATTTTTGTGTTCAATGAGAAAACCACTCCTAAAGCCTTAAACGTTTTTGATTTCCAATTCAACCCTAATGCATCTTGCGGAATAACTGTACTGCCTTTCAGCTATCCTATATGAATTGCAT